AAAAGCTAAGACTCAATGTAAAAGCCAAGATACTTTAAAAGAAACACTCATCCCCACTTAGGTGTTTCCAGAAAGCTCAGGGAGGTAGAAGAAAGACCCCGCACAACTTACAAAGGGAGCTAGATCCGTCTTTGGAAACACAGAACATGATCCAAGAACCCAAATCCCATCCCCAGGGCTGGGCCACGCAGACTGGCCACAGTCATTGGTTAAACAGGATAATGGGACAGTCTAAACAGTGGGGGACAGGGTATATAGAACAGAGATGGTGTCATCTCACTTGGGCCCAGACGTATGTTCTGACCTGAGTATCCAGTGTGGATGCATCCCTTCAATTCCTTGGCCAATGGTACCAGCCCTCTTTCCTGTATGACGACACCCTAGCCTGACGATACAGCCTTGGCCCTTGTCATCGGTCATGTCTACACCCACCAGCACTGGTTTCCAACGCCATGATCTTCAGGCTCATTGGCTGCTCGGGTCACTAGACTCCCATCCTGACAGGACCCCGGCCTGTGCTGGCTTGTCCATTCCCCTTCTCTCTCGTGCGCTAGGTCACTTTAAGCCATGTTCTCCTCTTGTCCTGAGGAGGGAAAGTAATGTGGAAATAGCCACTCAACCTGCATCCGTTTCTCTACATTTTCTTCCTTTTATTGACTGTATCTTGACGTCAAAGCTAAAACATGACCCAAAAAGAAAAAGAAAGAAGGAGAGACAGAGGAAGAGGGACAGCCCACCTCTCTCCCCCTGAACTGTGAGCACAGGGGTTACCTGCCAAGACCCACTTCCCCGGGAACTGCCAGGCCCATGCCCTTGGGCTTCTTCTAAAACCACCGGTCCTGCAAAGTCAGAGGTCAAAACTCCTCTTCTCCAGGCGAAAATGAGAAATGAAGACCTCCTTAGCTCAGTCCCTATGGCAATGTACTTTCTCGTTGTCACTATCATCAGTTGGACCGAAACATTTTAAGAAAGGCTTCTGCCCCTAGATGAATTTTAAACGTGCTGACTGGCCTGCTAGAAAGTGCTGGTATCCTTGATCCTTCTGAATATATTCTCTCTCTCTTTCTCTCTCTCTCTCTCTCTCTCTCTCTCTCTCTCTCTCTCCACACACACACACACACACACACACACACACACAGACACCTCACTCAGATGAGCAATGTCTTCAGAAGCTGAATGCCAAGTGTACCTCAACAGAAGCATCTCGGTCCCTGGAGAAGCATCATTTCATTACAGAGAAAAGCGAGGAGTAACTGCATCTTCAATTCGGAGCACGTCCTGGCAAGGTGAGGAACGCCACTAGGGTCTTTCCTTCTTCACAAGACAACCCCTCTCCGTGGGTGACCTACCTTCGCTCTCCTGCCAGGGTCCCCACCTTTTCCCTAGGTACGTTTTCCTGGGGTCCTCCCTCTCACACACTGGCAGCATCCCTCCAGCCTCAGCCATCACAGAACCAGCTCCTGCTTACCTGCGGGAAAGTCCCAGCTCACTGTGGTTGGCTCGCTGAGTTCAAAACAGGAAGGGGGACAGGAGCACTGTTCTCCCAGTCCCTGCAGAAGCAGTGCCCTCCCTGAACCAGGAAGAACCGAGACTCAGCTGCCTGAAACCCAGCACAGGTGGTTCTGACACAGGTGGCTCTTGGGTTTCCCTCAAAGACAGAGCTTTGTCAACCTTACTGTGCTAAGACATCACAGAGCAGCAAAAGATCTAGTTAAAGTGTGGGTTCTGACTCAGTGGATCTGGATGAGTCTAACTCCTTGCTTCTCCCCCCACTCCCCACCCCCCACCCCCGTGAGGTGGACACCACTGGTCCATAGCCATACTTTGAGTGACAGGCTTTAGGAAACTGTGATGGAAGGTCTCACTCTCCTATGTGTGTTCCCCAGGCCAGCACCACCGGCATCCTCTGAGGCTACTTAGAAATGTAGCTCTAGGGCCCCACCCCAGACCTGAGACATCAGAATCCGCCTTTCATCAAGTTTCCAGACAATTCTATGCCCATTAGTTTGAGAAGATGACAAAGGAGAACTTCAGGACCGGCTTCTCAAAGTTGTTTTCCACAGAATGGTCAGAGGGGGCCAAAGAAAAGCAACTTTTTTATTCTAAGAGATTTGACACCCACATTAAAGGTCTGCCTGGGTTGGAGGGAACAGAGTAAACTATTTGGAAACAAGCCTCTTCAATCCCAGCTCCCACCCTGCAAGACCACATAGAACAAGAATTCAGCTGCAGCTCCACAGCTCTGAGTGTGAACCGCTTACACTGCAGCCTACTTTCTTGGTTTTCATTACTTCTCTATCATCATTAGATCAACCAATTTGGGGACCCTGCTGTAACCAATAGACTGCCATGGTTCTGGGGCAGGTAGTTACATGGTGGAGGAGGACTGATAAACCCTAGTACTCTCAGTCAGAAGGAGAGATGGAGTCAGGCGCTCAGACCACTGGGCCCTTGAGAAGACTGTAGCTGTTTGACCTTCAGGGAGACCTGAAAAGGGCGGATGTCCCCACTTCTATAAACTCAGCACCTAGCAAAGCACAGAACGCATTATAAGGAAAATTTAATCAATAGCAGTTAAAGATGTTTACTTGGAGATTTAAAGCACTAACTTGCTAAAACTAGAGGCCAAAAGAAGACCAAGAACCAAGAGGAAATGAGAACACAACCTACATTTAAAAAGAAAAAAATTGAAATTAAATTTTAATGAGAGAATCAGGCTCTAGCAGAATCTGGGATCATGAGGAACCCTCCTCATCTCCCCCTCCCCAAAAAAAAAACAAAACAGTTGGCTCAATGAAATCTGAGGTACAGGCTCTGTGTTTCCCTCAGTGTTGTTTTCCCAGGATTCTGTTGGAGAAAGTGCTTGCTACAGACCACGCTCGCCTTTGTTGATCAATAGATCGAGGAGCAGTCAAAGGAGATGGGAGCATCCAGGAAGGGATGGTGCTGGCATTGATGAATGTGGACAGGGCCAATGCAAATACTGCGTTCAATTAGCATTTTTGTGGACCGAGCAGTTTTTGAAAACTATTTTTCAAGCCATGGAATACGCGGAGCATCTGGCTCCATTTCTGGAAATACTTCTGACAGCTCTGCCTCCCACCTCTAACCAGTCCCACCCCAACTCACTTTCCATGCCTTCCTTGGGCCAACTTTATATCCTCCCTCTGCCTTACTTGCCTATGTGAAGGCTTTAAAGTCTAGTAATAACCACAGGCCCTTAGTTGAGTCCCTACTATGTGCCAGGCACTGCACATGTCTTCTTTAATCCTCACAACCATTTCTGTTTACATATGAAACAACTCACTGATGCTCTGAGAGGTGGAGAAACCTGTCCAAGGTCACAGCGCTTGTAAATGAAGGTTGTGGAATTCCATCCTCTCCTCTCCAAAATCCATGCTCCCCTGGCTGTCATTCTGTCCCTGTAGCCATGTTCCTCACTTCGGTCTCGTCTGTCCAGCCACTATGTTCTGGGTAGCTCTTACTTCCTACACCTACTTTGGGGTAGGCACCTATGGCTTTCATTCCGGCTTTGTTCATCAGTGATCTCATCCCTCCACTGGGGTCCCTGTTGCAGGCACCCCCATATTTGATAGTCACCGCTTCAGTGCCTTTTCATACAGGTTTTGCCTTGAAGGTTTTGAATGTTTTCTGCAACAAAATATATACAGTGGGGCTTAGGAATTAAAGGCAAGCCTTCTGCCAGTGTTCTTTTACGTTCAGGAAAAATCAGGAAGGTTAAGGGCAAGCCCCAAAGGATGGCCACGGGCATGTTTATAACAGCCGTTTCCACATTGGTCTGTTTTGTTACACATCAAACTCCCCGGCCCATTGCAGGTATCTATTGGTAACTCCAATACTCAAGCCATTCTGCTAAAATGATGACGAATGGCACACTCATTCCAGCACGAGCCACTCAGCTGCCACGTACAGACAGGAGCTCTGAACACAGACTGTGGCAGAGCCTACCTTAGGGCAGGTCCACTTTCAGAGCAAGCCACTCACACCGGGATAAAATCCATTATCTTTCATGATCACAACGGCGGGACGGTTTTTAACTGAGAGTCAGCTGAGGGATATCTTGCCAAGCAAAACGTTGAGGATCCATCACCAACATCGCCAGATAATTGGTCTTGGGGAAGGAGGAGGCTTCCTGTGATGAATGAATATGCTGACTTGATGAGGAATCACCATTATACTGGAGGACCTGCCTGCGTGTTTTCTCCCACAGGACCCATAACACCCTCCTCGCTGCCCCCAGCTTCAGAGGCGGGCCTCCCAAAACTGTGTTCATTGACAACAGACCAGGAAATGGAGCCAGATCTCCAGAAGAGACACCTGTGATAACAGTTCCCCCTGAAAAGCAGCCCACGGTGTCTGCTTGTCTCTCAGCATTGAGAAAAGGGGAGAACTCTTCCCTCAAGTCCTCAGTTGGAGAATATAGTTCTTTTTACTCATCACCACTCATTCGTTTACTGAGCACCTCGTGATATTTTAGGGGAGATGAGAGATTTCAGAGAGGAAGGGAGAGGGAGAGAGAGATAGAAACATCAATGATGAGAGAATCATTGATCGGCTGCCTCCTGCACACTCCTCCACCGGGGATTGAGCCTGCAACCCAGACATATGCCCTTGACCGGAATCAAGCCCGAGACCCTTCAGTCCGCAGGCCAGTGCTCTATCCACTGAGCCAAGCCGGCTAGGGCTAGGGAATTTTTTTTAACATAACTTCCTAACAATAAATCCTCTGGCAAAAGAGTTGCCAAGTTCATGGGCCCTCTGCCGGCAAGCTCACAGCTCCTGGTTGGACAGGTTAAACACAGTAAAGGTTCCACATGCCAATTCAGGGGACTGTCCCTAAAAATCCAGAAAGTTTTCATTCAACTCCAGGAAAAAGAAATGAAAGGAAGGATGGGAGGAAAAAAGGAAGGGGGAAAAGATTGGAGAGAGAGGGGAAATAAACTAAGCAGAATACACATTTCCAAAACGAATGGACCAAATTCAACTAACATATATTAACCTTTATTCTATAACAGAGACATAAATAATTTTATGAATTCATATGATCTGTACAAAAGACAAAATAAGATATTGCACTAAGTTTAGATATGGGATATTTGGATTTCATATCAGCTAAACAGATAAATATATACAATTCAAGGAGTTAAGGCAAAACCAGATGATACTTCAAACACAACAGAAAGTTGGAAACATAGGTATAATTAAAAACAAGGGCATCCCATCACCTGTTAATAAAGTGGTCATGGCTAAGGGGAAAAATCCCTTAGGTTTTTAATAAAGTGATTATCATCAATCATGTTAATTAAAGTCGAGCAACAAAGTATAAGATTTCCCGTGGAGGAGAGCGATTTGGGGAAGTTTGGGGGTTGAGCAGGTAGAACTCAGGTAAGCAACCTTTTCCTTGTCAGATTTATGACCTATTCTTCCTATTAGAAAATATAATTTGGAAAATATGACTCTTTCACATATATAATTAAAATAAAACTATGGAGCATTCTTTTTTTCAAGGGAAGTCATGTTGGGGATCTCATAGGGTAAGTTTGCGGGCAAGCCATTCATTACCCTATTGGTAGAGAAAACACAAAACCAGTCACCGCAAAACAATTCCCAGGTACCTACACTGAACAAAACAAACCGAGTCCAAAGGAATAAGAACACGCGTGACCAATGTACCAACACAGGTAAGTTCTTTGGCAGCTTCGCACTAACCGTTGATTGAAGTCAGAACTCTTGCATCTTCTCATTCTTAGACCCACTTGCCAGTCTTTTAAAAACAAATAGATAAAATTCCACATTTGCAACGAATTCAGTAATTCCAGGAAATTAAATTCAGAAGGAATCTGCAGATAGTCTATAACGGTTACACGGACGCACGGATAGGAATTGTCTGCCGAGTCCTGATCCACACATAGGGAGCGCAGGCACGCAAAAGTAATCAGTAAAGCTGGATTGGTCTGGACAGGCCTGGGATCCTGAAAGAGAATCCATACTGACCCATGAAACCAATAAGACATCACTCCGAGGATGAGAAAATGATCTTCCAATAACTCAGTGGTGAGCCGCCCCTCACCTGGTGAACGCCACGGAGAAATGGATTCTATAGGGGGAACACCAGGAAGCCCGAGAATGTGGAATACTGCCAGCCTCCGACCAGGTTACCTTTCTCCAGTTTTAGGTAAACCTTATCCTCCTTATCCAGGTAGAGCAAGACTCCATTGGTGGCGGCTTCGCGAGTAACATCTTTGTCCCCAGCAAAGGCAGATATTACCGGTTTTCCATTTAACATCAGGTTAACCTACAAGGAGAAAAAAGTCACTAAGCTCTCCTTAGAGTCAAAAAATCTGCTAGGGATAACAAATAATGCTCAAGGGGAAATATCTGATGTTTAGTAAATATATCCCTTTCCTTTCAAATCAGCCAAGTGCAGTGGCTAGACTTAGTATGCTGCTAAGCTAGGGGTGGGGGCTGTTCAAAGTAAAATTGAGTTTCTTCCATAGAAATGTCCTTAAATGCCTACAAAAGAGTACCATCTGTGGAGAGCAGCCTAGCCATGTGAAAACTGGCTACCCGTCACCTGTAACTTAAGCTCACTACTTTATTTACCTCTGAGATTCATTAGCAATCTTTCGGTAAGGAAGCAAGCCTGTAGCTTCCCAGTGTGTTAGTAAAAAGAGGCCAGGCACCCTTCACCCTGATAAACCAGACATAGCAAAGTTCTACCAACTTCTGGGCAGGTCACTATGCAGCCGTGACATGCATACTGCTGAAAATCATCTTAAATCATGGACTGTGTGTACACTGTGGTTTCTTTTTCTGTTTTCCTTGATAAGAAACATGTATTTAAAATAATAATCACCACTACCATTGAAGATTTTAATGATGGCTAATTAGCAAAGAATTAATAATTAATAAGCTCAAAATTATTAACAAATAATCTCAACATGTATTCGCTTTTCTTCATACTACAATTTTGATCATACTGTATTAAACATTACACTAACTTCTAAACAGTGGGGTTTGGAAAAGCTTTCCTATGGCAGTGAATTTGTTTTCTAGCTGTTCATTCTTTTTATGTTAAAAAATAATACTGAATAAATTAAATCTGAGGTCGATCAATTTATCCATTCACTAGGAAATGTAAAAGTGGTAGATGAGTGAATCTATCTTTCACATAGACATAGCATACAGTACAAACATTGAGCAAAAGATAACATGTTCCTCAAACTCCATAGACACGTATCGGTGTCATTGGGTGTTCACACATTTAAACATTATAGGAACTAGGCCCATGGTTGCCTTTGAGTGTAAGCTCAAGTCCATTACTTAGAAAGCACAACACAAAATATATTGTTAACTGTGGAATTGCAATTGGTAAGAATTCACCAGGATCAGAGTAACTAAGGGTAAACTAAAACATAAGCGTAGCTCACTCTTTTTTTAAAAATATATTTTATTGATTTTTTACAGAGAGGAAGGGAGAAGGACAGAGAGTTAGAAACACCGATGAGCGAGAAACATCGATCAGCTGCCTCCTGCACACTCCCTACTGGGGATGTGCCCGCAGCCAAGGTACATGCCCTTGACCGGAATCGAACCTGGGACCCTTCAGTCCGCAGGCCGACACTCTATTCTCTGAGCTAAACCGGTTAGGGCACGTAGCACACTCTTGTAAAAAAGTATATCGGATAATTGTTAGTTATGCCGACGCTCTATCCTCTGAGCCAAACCGGTTAGGGCACGTAGCACACTCTTGTTAAAAAAGTATATCGGATAATTGTTAGTTACTCATAAATGTATTCTTACTAGTAAACTGTTTCTCCTAATTCTTAACAATTATAGCAAATTTGTTTTCATTTAGTAAGCACTTATAAAACTCTACTGGTTTTACAAGTTCTATCCCTACAAGTTGAAATAATTTTGCACCTGCACTAAATGAAATCAAGATCTTATAAAGAGATTTGTGTCACTGAGTTTCTACTAAGCCATGCTTTTTTTTCCCTTTTCATTGAATTTATTGGGGTAACACTGGTTAACAAAATTATACAGGTTTCAGTTGCACAATTCCATAACACATCATCTGTACACGGTACTGTGTGTTCACCACCCCAAGTCAAGCCTCCGTCTATCACCATTTATCCAAAGCCATGTTTTTTAAATGGTTGGTTGTTATTAAGGTAATAAGTTCAATTGTTTATTTTTTCTATATGCTTCTTGTCACATGCCTTAATAGAGGCTATAAAGGAGAAGATTAGAAGTTAAGTCTTTTAAAAATAAACTACTGTGGATGGTTGTTTATTTTTACAGTGACAGCACATATTTGGATAAATACATAACCCACAACCAATAAACACTGTTGTTTGGGGATAGAAAGGGAACAGGTCAAAACACATACCTGGATTGTTTGGCTCTGGTAGACTTTAATTACGTGAAAACTGAAACTGTAAATTCCTTTTCTTGGTGCTACAAAGACAGACTCCAGTGTGAAAAAATTACCCACATTTACCAGGATCTACAAGTAAAAATAATAAATAACAGTAAATTATTATAATATTCTCTTCTGTAAGTATGTTTCCTTCCTTCCTCCCTTTTCTTTCTTTTTTTTGTTTTCTTAATCCACAACTAGCTTAAGAAACCATAGAGAATAAAACATTGAGTTCTATTCCTTTCCTCTTTAGCGACTTGAAAAAAAATGGATTTGTATATTGGAAGGATCTTCTGTCTTCTAAATGGTAGCGGAAAATATAAAGTAACAGCTTAGTATTCATGCCTCAATTTCCAGCAGGGCCTGATGGCTCTGGGAACATGTAGATTACATGTGAGGGCTTATGGATTTATCAGCTGTACTTGAGAGTCAGATAAAAGGACCCTGCCATGTATGTACATTCCCACCCTCTGCAAGCCTTCCCAGTGTCCAGAGGTGGTGTTTCCCACACAGCCAATCCGCATCCATGGGCTCCCTCCAGTCCTCCCTGGACACACCACACAGAGCCTGGGCGCCCCCTCGCACGTGCCATAATCCATGACACTGAGCAGCTGGTGCATGGAGTGATCTGGAGGCCGGCCCTCCCCGGAGTCTCCGCCAAACCTCTCCTGAGAGCCTTGGCCGTTTTTTCATCCCTGTGCCATCTAGGCCTTAATTCTATTTTGGCAATGACTCAGCTTTTACAGGCTGCCACAGAGGAGAGCGGGAATCAGAGCAGACTGTGACCTAGGTGGCCTTCTCCTGCTCCTCCCAGGGTTGGCCGTCACCCTCTGATCAGCCACCTGCTCTTTATTTAAAAAGTTCAATGGTCAAAAATGAAGCATGAAATCAGGTGCTGTTCCCAAAGAAAGCCACAATGCATTTTGTTTTCGAAGACGCTCAATCTGGATCTACTGGTTGTGAAATGAACTTTGAATTTCAACAAGTGACCTCTTAAACCAAATTTGCAAACATCTCATAGGTAAGTCCGAGAGAGAGAGAGAGAGAGAGAGAGAGAGAGAGAGAGAAGAAAGAGAGTTGGGGGGGGGAGTTGAAAAATAACTAGGATTTCTTCCATTTCTCCTCAAGAGATAAATCTATAAGAGGCATTCAAAAAAACCAGATGTCCCTAAAAGACACATGTCCCCTATATCAAAGGCAATCTGCTACTATCTCTTTTAAACAACACATTTATACCAATATTAACCCTTTAGCATAATTCCCGAAAGACATACTTTTACCTCTGAGAACTGCACTAGAATATAGCGACAGTCAGGCTAGACCCCTGACTTAAACTGCATGTATGTGGACAGTGTTATTCTGAGATTTCACGTTCTTCTAAGTCAGCTCCAGATTTCTTTCTCAGACCTGATGATCGAGGATCTTCAGACAGCAAATCCCTAGCCACACAGTAATCCCCAGCAGACGCTTTACAAAGATTTCTCCCAGCACATTTTAAGTGATTTGAGAAACTTAGTGGGGACTTCCTGAGTCAGATACGAGCAGCATAAGTCATTAGTAATAAGGGAAACGGCTGGTGAGTGTTGACTGCGCACAAGGCTGGAGGTTGACGCTGTAATTAGAGATCCAAGCACATCGAGATTTTCACTAAATGTGCCTTGTTGTCTCCAAGACGCATGGCTCCTGAGCAGAGGAATAAACCCTTCTCCTCTCCTAATTGATGGACGGGTCATTGGGAAGAATGCCCTGTGCAGGACAGTGCAGTGCCCACAGCATCCAACATAATTAATGCGCCGGAATGCAAACCAGGGGAGGGTCTAGCCTTGGTTTCTGTCAAGATTGAAAGCACTGCACTCCTGAAGGGGCTGCTGGACTATGGCTCTCCCACAGGAAGCCCCAGGGGTGCCTGGTCTCTCTCCCGCCAGCGGGAGAGTGCATTGCTTAGGAAAAATTAATAAGAAACCTACTGTCGCCTTATTCCTTCCCTAGCACCTGTGAAGGCAGTACCTCTTCACCTGCACTCTCACGCATGTGGCTTTTCACACAACTGTGGGCTACGCATGTGACTTTGGAAATAAAAAGGTTCTGGGTGCACTTAGGGTGGAAATTAAAACCCCGGAATCAGTTTTCAGTGATGACTCCTCGCTAACGCTGAGCTGATATCCTGGGGGTTTTCATCAGCCAAACGTCTGAGCTCCAGATCTCTGAAAAGCAGCCATGGATTTCATCAGTTCCTCCGCCATCCCCTACCCTTAGCCCCAAAGCCGGTCCTTTCCCAGCAATTTGCAATTCTCTGAAAGGACAGGCTGGGAAGGGAAAGCCCGCGGCCCTCCACGCTTCCCTCTGCCGCTCCGCGCAGCTGCCCAATTCCTTTCCCTCCGCCTCCGCAACTTTTCTGCAAGCGCCAGGGAAGGGCTTCCCCCCGCAGCAGCGCCTGCGACGTGTGTGGGGATCCCAGCGGCCAAAGGTGAGCGAGACCGACCCTGGCCACTACGCACCCTCTCCGGCCACCTGCAAGATCTCTGCAGAGTGCCCACCCACCTGGGAGAAGCAAACCATTTACCCTGCGTGTGGAGAGCCCCACCGGACGGCCTGTGGTCACCTGCAGACAGGGGTCGGAGGCAGGGGCCGGGCTCTCGCCCAGAGATTGCTAAGTCCAGGCACGAGACTCCCACCAGCTCCTTGGACCTGTTGCTGCTAAACTTGTCCTGAGCTCTTGCTGCCCAGCCCTGTGTTCCCAGCCTTTGTCCCGCCGCCCAACAGCCTTTCCCGGAGGCCAGGGGGGAATGGGGGCGGCAGGAGCTGGCGTGGGAGAGACACTGGAAGTTTCAGTCCCAGGCATATTTGGGGAGGCCAGTGCCTAAATGATCCCCCACATCCCAATCAAATGAGCTCAGCCCTAGCAGGCAGCCAGGTCTGAGCCGCTCGGCAATCCCCGCCCCTGCCCCCGGTGCCCCACATCCCTCGGGATCTGACCTGATCGAAGTAAATGATGCGGGTCTTGTTGCTCATCTCCGAGGGCTCGTGGTTGGTGCTCCGCACCGCCGAGAAGGCGACCTTGGAGTTGGCCGCCCGCACCGAGATCCCCAGAGGGGAGGAAGAGGAGCCCTTGGAGTCCGTGGCCGGGTTCGAGTCACACACCACCAGGCATTTGCCCTCCAGCACGATGGGCTCCGTGTCGTTCTGCGCCCAGACGGGCAGCGAGCAGGCAGTTAGATAGACAGCGCTGCAGGCACAGCGGCGGCGGCGCTCTCACTTCCACCGATTCTCTGGTTTGAAGTCAGAGTCTCCCTCGCGCTCTCTCGCCAGCTCGTTTACCTTTGTCCTTTAAGGAGCTCATGCAGAACCCCCTACCTCACCCTCCTCCACCCCAGAGTCAGCCCTGCCTGGGGCTCCTTCACCCGCCCCCCTTGTTGCCAGACATCTAGAAGTCTCCAAACCCTCACATTCACGCCTCAAAGGGGAAACTGGCAGTAAATGCTCACCCCAAACCCAAGCACCCCCTGGTGAACCGCGGATCAGGAAAAACGAAGAGGGCTCAGAGAGGTCCCGGGGCGGTGGGCGCGGAGCAGGGCCGAGGCGGTCCTGTAGCGTCTGGCCAGCGGCAGGGACGGATTACAGCGGCGGAAGGTGTTTCCCGGGCGGAGAGGAACGCGAGGCTGTGTTCATGGCCGGGATTCAAGCGGCTGCCACTTTTGCTTGGTCAAAAATTCCCCACAGCTCGGTGTAGCTTGGATGCCGCAGGTAGGCAGCGGCCAGCCAAATGCCCAGCTCGGAAGCGCAAATGGGCAGGATTAGTTCCAGGTTCAGGGCGGCTGGGCTGGCAGGGTCCTCTCCTGCCTGTGCCGCACCCGCACGCCCCACGCCCAGAGTCCCTGCGCGCAACTTTCTCTGTCCTCCGCAGCCAGGAGAGCGCGAAGCCTGAGCGAGCGCGCTATTTATAGGAGCGCAGCGTCGGCTGGCGTTGGCTTCCAGCTCAGCCCGTGGGCTCCGGGGAAAGGGGGAGAAGGAGTCCGGTGACCGGATCTGAGCAGCTCCCGCCTGGCCCTTAAGGCATCCGTAAGCAGGCGGGTGCGCCGGCTTCTAGTGCCAGAGTCCTAGGCCACTCGGCCCTGGGGAGTGCGCGGCGCCAGGAGCGTGTGCGCAGGGAGGGGCGCCCGCAGCCCT